AGACATCTGTTTGGAACCAGAATGGGAAAAATGGGAGCGTTTGTCTCATCGACAGCTTCGTCGTAACACGACACCAGCGCGATGCAGTCTAACAATCTTTGCTCGACTCAAGTATAAATCTTGGTCCGATGATCAGGATGATGAGAATGCAGCTGAAAACCAGGCTGTTGATCCAAACAGTTTGCCATCCGGAACTGTCAAGAGAACAGGTTCCTCTGAGGTTTTTGAAGAGTTGGTGGATCGACAGAAACGCTACCGTTCAGGCATGGCAGAAGAAGTTCGAGGTTTTTCACCATCAGTTCCACTGCAAGACACCAGCAATGTCAAAGTAGATGGGGAAACTCGTCAAATGATTGACCTTGTTTCGCAAAAGCATGGACCTAACATGATTGCACTGCCTCAGTCGGACCAGTCATGGCTTCTCAAACTGCATCGCAACCTTGGACACCCAAGTAAACAAAAGATGGAATATGTTTGCAAACAGCTTGGATGTAATGCGGAGATCTTGCGTGCCATACCTGACATTCGTTGTTCCACTTGTCTGGAGAGCCGTGGACCTGAAATACCACGACCAGGTGCTGTGAAGGAGGAACTTGATTTTGGAGACATAGTTGCCATGGATGGTGTCACTTGGAAGAACTCTCAAGGACAACAATTCCATTTTTATCACATGATTGACCACAGCACTTCATTTCATGTTGCATATTGTTCTCCTTCCCGTACAGCCGAAAGTGTAATTCGGGCGTTGACAATGGGATGGATCATGTGGGCTGGACCTCCAGGCCAGCTTATCCTCGATGCAGCCGGTGAGTTTTGTGATGAAAAGATTCAAGAGTTTTCGCAGAAACACGACATTGGTTTGAAAGTGATCCCACCTGAAGCTCATTGGCAGAATGGTCGTTGTGAAAGACATGGGGGCATCTTACAAGAAATGCTCACAAAGATGGATGTCGAAGAAGGAATCAACAGCTATGATCAGTTAGAACAAGCACTGTCATTTGCCACACAAACCAAGAACCAATGGTCTCGACATCGTGGATATCCGCCAGAACTTCTTGTGTTTGGAAAGATGAAGAAACAGCCTGCATCCATCACAAGTGATCCAAGCTTAGCCTCGCATGCTCTTGCCAGTTCTGAATGCGCTGAAGGCATCCGCTTTCGTGCTGAGTTAGCTGTCCGAGAAAGCGCAAGAAAGGCATTTGTACAGGTCGACAATGACCAAGCATGTCGTAGGGCCATCTTACAACGAACTCGGCCGAATCGGGGGAAGTACAACACTGGTGATTGGATCATGATGTGGCGTGAGAACAAACGATGGTTTGGTCCAATGAGGGTAATCCAACAGGATGCTGATCATTGCATTTGGGCTGTTTTTGGTAGTAGAATGTATCGGGCCTCCCCTGAACAGGTGAGATCGTTGTCTGCCGTCGAGGAGATTCAACATAAGAAAGAAGCAGCAGTGGAGTCTCGCCCTGATGTAGTCCAAATTTCACTGAATCAGCCATTGGAAAATCAACAGATCCCTAGTGCAGAGGCACCAGCCGAAGAAGCTATCAGTGGTAGTCAGATTTCTCAGGGTGAATCACCAGAACCTGAACCATCGGTAGGTACCCCTTCAGTTGCCAACACTGAAGATGTAGAATTGGAACGTCAAATCAATGCGCCAGTGGGTATTCCTGTGCCAGCAGAAACTGATGACGATTTGGTTCGTGAGGTTTTACATGTCACCGAAAATCAATGTTGGGAGATACCAATTGACTTGGGTTTACATGAGATAAATCAATTACTCAATAAACCTGAAGAAGAACACTCAGCCTTTTTGGTGTCCGCTGCAAAGAAACAACGAAGTGAAGTAAAACTTAAAGACCTGTCCAATCAAGAGCGTGAGTTGTTTGAAAGTGCCAAGGCCAAAGAAATTCAGTCCTGGTTGGATACAGAAACAATCCAGCGCATTTGCCGTGGTCAGATTCCCCGTGAAAATGTTTTGAAATGTCGATGGCTGCTGACGTGGAAAGAAAATGTTGATGATCCTCACAAACCAGCCCGAGCTCCGAAAGCTCGCTTGATCGTGCTTGGCTATCAAGATCCACTCTTGTGCGAATTGGAAAGAGACAGTCCCACGTTGTCGAAATTGGCAAGAATGTTTATCTTTCAATATGCAGCTAGTTGTGAATGGGAAATTGGAAGTTTCGACATACGTACTGCATTTCTCAGAGGTAGTGATGATCAACGACTGTTGGGATTGGAGCCCCCAATCGAGATGCGAAAACGTATGGGCCTGGCTGATCACGAGATTGTTCGACTCTTGAAAGGAGCATATGGCAGAGTTGATGCACCACTGTTATGGTTTAGAGAACTTCAGAAGGGTTTGACTGATCTGCAATTCACTGTAAGTCCTTTTGATAACTGTCTCTACATGCTTCAAGAGCAGGGTCGAGTTCTTGGATTGATCGGGGTTCACGTGGACGATGGGTTATTTTGTGGTACACCTGAGTTTTACAAGAAGCTGGATTTGTTGGAGCAAAAGTATCCTTTTGGAAGTCGTCGTACTCGAGAGTTCACTTTCACTGGTTTACATATCACTCAACATCAAGACTATTCCATCACAATTGATCAAACCAAGTATGTCAAGGAAATTGAACCTATTCGCATTTCTCAACAAAGACGACATGAACCTCAAGCACCAGTTCGAGAAGAAGAAAGACAACAACTACGTGGATTGATAGGTAGCTTGCAGTATGCCTCCACCAATACACGACCTGACTTAGGAAGTAGGTTATCGTTTTTGCAAAGTCATATCAATTCGGCTTGTGTAGAAACTCTCATGGATGGAAATCGAGCTCTTCAAGAAGCCAAGAAACATGCTGACACGTGTCTCAGAATCCAGCCAATTCCTCTAAGGGATATTCGTTTCCTTTCTTTCTCAGATGCCGCATTTGCTTCAGCCAAGAACACCTCATCCCACCAAGGTATGTTGCTTATGACTGCACACAAGTGTATAGCCGAAAATCAAAGTAGCGTGGTCAATCCAATACTTTGGTCATCGCGCAAGATTCAAAAGGTTGCTGTGAGCACTTTGTCAGCGGAAGCAATGGCTCTAGCCAGTGCAGTTGATGTCTTGGCATGGGCCAGACTTTTCTGGGCATGGTTAGTTGACCCCAAATGCCGATGGCAATTGGGAGATCAAACATTGCTGAAACTGCCACCAGCTTTTACAGCTCTGAAAGATGATGATGATCAACCTGAGCCTAATGAATCACTATGCCGGGCCAGCCAATTGAACCAGAAAGTAAATCTGGCAACTAGCATAATCAGTACAGACTGCAAGTCGCTATATGATATCGTCAGTAGGACTGCTGCACCGTCATGCCAAGAGTTCAGAACTGTGTTGCAAGCGAAACTCATTCGAGAACACTTAGCTGCTGGTGTGTTAGTGCGTTGGGTACCAACTGGAGCTCAAATGGCTGATAGTCTTACAAAGATCATGGATAGCACTGTACCACGGGAGTGTCTTCGACTAGGCAGATACCGTTTGAACGATGAAGCGCAAGTGTTGAAAACCCGTGCTGACTCAAAAACTCGTCTTAAGTGGCTTCAGGGTGAGAAGTCAAATTCAGAGTTGCCTGAGAAAAGCCAAGACGTCTCTAGGCATATGCATGAAGAACCATAGGTGCCAACGCTGAAGCTTCTTGACCTTGATGCATCCCAGTTTTTGCATGATTTTCATACTGGAGCTATACAGACTGCTGTCTTTGAAACAAGACAGAGTCACTCGACGATGCTGAACTTGCCACTTGTATTACATTGCGATGTGCATCTGGGTTGATGTGAGGGACAAGTGCATGAACATGATGAATGGCTGTCAATTTTTTTAGAAGACTGGGAATGTCAAATGCATTCCATTCACATGTTCAGTATCCAGCAGATCATGTCTCCAGTCGCCAAGTCCGATTTTGCATGATGCATTGGCCCAAAGTGGGCGGGTTGAGGAGCGGAAACGCTTGAGCCATAAAAGGAGCGAGGCGGCTCCCGGTGTGATATCAGATATCTATCCTGTGGTCAGGAATCCCCTTTGAAGGTGTGGTCACCTTGGTGCTTTTGGGTCGGGTCCGTTGCCAATCCATTTGAGAATTATTTATTATTATTGTTATATATGATTATTGTTTTATTGTTAATATACAACTATGTAAATATATAGTATAATATCTATAGACATACCTATAGTTGACATAACTGATGCCTGGGATGCACCGCCTATGGAAAAAACACATGTGGATTTCACCTGGGACAATCATCTACATGTAGCCTCTGGAAATCAATCACGGCCGTGGTAATGAAAAAGGGTCCACACCTGGGGTAGAATACGAATCTTAACTGTTGTTCATTGTGGTCGATCTAGCCAGTTTGGATTTCCGGTAGCATATGATCTAGCATGATCTAAGACATTCCAAGACTATCTAGCATGACTCTCTGGTAAACTAACAGTTCGCGAACTGGAAAATCACCCAGTTTCGTCGCGAAATCAACGAACTCAATCACCCACTGTTCAATCGCAGAACTATCACCGATGATCCTTGTGGAGGAAATTATGGCCAGATCCTCACTTTGCCGTTTTAATAAGGAATAATTCTCAATGGAATTGGGGGTACCGTGGGGTAACCGACTTTTCAGACTTTGCGGACATTTAGAACTGGCGGACGCTGGTGGATAATACTTGATGTAAACCCAATGTCATAAAGCCTAATTGGGGATTGTTTATGGCAGTGGGTTTACCTCATTATCATGAATTGTGGCAGAGATGATGGACAGCAACTATGAGCGGATGTAAATGGTGGATACGAATGGATAAGAACTACTATAAGAACTACTACAAGGTGAGACCCCCCCAGTCATACGTTGGTTTATTAGTTGTATCCCCCGTAAATCGTAAGTAACCAAGTTATGTGCGTCAACTTAGCTATCGTTTGGGGGCCTGACCCTTCCTCCGCGACCGCGGGCTTTTTTACAATTGATCTCTCAGAGATTTTCGTGCTAATTTGGACCTCAGGTTCTGCACATTTTGTGCATTGGGATTGATGGTGTGTTCCTTGCTGCCGCCGCGCCAATATGGCACAGGTCGCAGGAAGAAGCAGAGGTTGGCCGGCATGGCCACAGGAGTGGTGACTTCCTGGTGGCTTCGTGGTTAGTTTTTCAGGAACAAATGGGGTCTGAAAAAGGAGTATACCCCCAAAATGACATGTTTTTCATGAGAAAATGATGATACCATGGGATACCCCCATGTCAATGGAGATATGGATGGACAGCAACAAAAATCATGGTTGATGCAGTCCAATGGTCATCATCCAGCTTGGGAATCCAAGAACTTAGAACTACATTTCGGAATAAGTTCAGAAATGGCTTCCTCCAATCTGGAGGCGTCCCAACCCATGAAAATATGCCAAAATCTGTGGTTGCCTGAACCTGAGAATTTCACTCTATCACCCAATTGTCTAACCTCATGGTGAAATCCATACCTCTGTTCGTTTTTCCTACAGTTTTTCGAGTTTCTGCACGTCCCCATCTACCGTCTCTAAACCTCAAACCACCCTCAAAATATTCATTGGCTATCCAATGACATCCGGTGATTGGTGGTTCAATCCGTGTGCTTTGCTGGTTGAATCCCAATTTTTCATCACCATGTTATCCCCGTATTTTGAAGAAATCCCCATGTCAACTCCCCATGATTTCCTGAGCAATTCATCCTTTGGCACCTTCCCTCTATCTCATCCCCATGTCTGTCATTGGTTATCCCGCTCCCATTTTTTTGGGTGAAATCCGTGAGGGAATGAGTCAACATTTTGGTGCCCAGAAGACCAGTCAAGACAGTCTATCTGTGAAAAAGTGGGGTTTCAAACTTTTTCCATCTTTTTCCCATAGCTACCCAAAAATGTCCCCCAAACTCGAGTTTCTCTGAAAAATCGCATGGCCGGTGGCTTGGGGTATTAACCCCCAAGTTTCATCCTCGGTCTTTTCCCGCTATATCATGAACCCGTTGACGTTCAACCAAGTTCTGTGTGTGTCAGCTTGGCCAACAAAAAACATTTATAAATCCCATAAATCCCATAAAACCCTAGCTTCAACATTCATATGTTTCCTATGGTTTCCACGGGGGCTCACCTTATCCGTCGTTGTTCCTGGGTTTTCTGACCCGCAGTCCTTGGGCCAATCCAACGGCCAGTCTGCCTTGGCACCCTTGTCGGGGAACTTGCAGTCGCCGCTGGGGGCCGCTGCACCTGGTCAGCCAAGGCTTCAGGTGAAAAACATGGGGACATCATGGGGATTCAAGCTCCATGAATATGGTAAATAATGAGATTTCAGCATCATCAATAGGGTTTTCATATGTTTTCATGGGATTTCATATGGGGAAATCATGGCTTTCAAAGAAACAACCAGGATTTAGTTGGATTTAATGAGAAAATAAGGGGAGTTGACCATTGAGAACAGGGATTTGAGCAGATAGAAGGAAATGCAGTGTTTTTTGCTGGATTTAACCACCAACAAGAGGGATTGAATATGGGACTTTATGGGGATATGATGGAGATATAATTCACCAACCATAACTATGTGGATCTATTTGGGGTGTCCCCAAAAAATTGCATACCCCAAATCAGTCAGCAAAACTAAGTGGGTCGACATGCAAGTGGCCTGGATTGGTAATGTTTTTTCAAGAGAAGGAAAATGCAGGAAAATGAAAAGAAATGAGCAGAAATGAAAAGACATGAAAAGAAATGAACAGAAGTGAAAACAATGAAAAAAACGAAAAAAAATGTGTTTTTCTTTTTTTAAATATATGTTTTAATCTCGTGGGTTTCGCGACAGTGGGATAACCTGCATTTGGTATTTAATTGAGAAAATGTTTCTTAAGATCAAACATATATTTTCTATGTTTGTTCTTTTTTGCTATTGTTTGACCAACAAAAATGCAAACAACATATGTGAGAAACACATGTTTTTTATCAAAAAACAACAAAAAGGAAATCGCAAACGTGCTGCAAGGGTGTTTCTGGTGCGATGTGCTGTGGAAAATCATCTGAGATGGTTTGCGCGTTTCCAGCGTTGTCAAAACAAAGTAAGTTTTGATAGGCCACAGCCTGAACAAATTAAACAGAATAAAGTAAAATATATTGAGTTCTATCTAATTATCTATGTATTTTTTGTATGTGTAGTTCTTTCTATTTCTCTGTAATTCTTTTTATGTCTCTTTGTTTTTCCTGTGAATGAATTTATTTGTATGATTTAAAATGTTTTTTTAATTAATTATTTTTGGACCAACCAAATCATTTTGAAACTAACCTACTGCAACCTGCACCACCACTTAGTCTTGCTGAATCAGCAATCTTATTTAATTGGAACGCAATGATAATACATTGTCTTAAGGGTACCCAATTCTCCGGCACACGTCGGTGTATGTGTGTATATATATAATATGCGGATTTCCTTGGCGAAGAATCGTAGTTAAACCGGCAATCACCGAGATTCAAGCTGTAAGCATCATTGTCTTTTGCCGGTCAAAATTGAGAGTTCACCCGGGAATGTGTCACAGCTCTCAGCCTGAACTTTGAGACGTGTACAACCTTGTCCTCACACATTCTGAGCCACTTGGAGGATCATTCCCATACTGCTTAGTAGCCCTAGTTAACAAGTCCCCACTTCCTGGATTTATCTCATGGGTCAACTAACCTCACAAACATGAAGCGTTTATGCTGATTCATCACTGGTTCCAGTAACCCCCCATGAAGCTTTACAGCTGGGAAAACCATCGAACGATATGGTGGATTTTCCAGTCAGCCGTGTTCGATCATTGGAGTTGTTCTCCCATTATATCCAACCCAAACATCAAAATTCATCAAAATTCCCCTGGAAATTCCCGGAAATCTCCCTGGAAATACCTCCATCCACCGCACCTTGGGGCACCAGCACCTTGCTGCCCAGCTCATCCGCCACCATGCGTTCGTCCGCGCGGTTCGCATGGTCCACCAACTCCTGCGCCTCTCTGGCGTCCACCTGCAGGAGACGCACCTGGCGGAGCCCCCCATGGCCGGCCAGGGGCCAAGGGGAAGTTGGGTGGGCTGGAGAAGCATGTAAAACCAAGAATGTTATAGTGTGTTATGCTGATATGTGATGGAATATTGTGATGGAATATTGATATATAATATTAATATAATCAATATTATATAAAATATGATGTAATCATGACTTTCGCAACCATCGATATGATGTGGGTGTGTATTAAAATTGGTGGATGTACCCACATGTTATGACTACTAAAATAGATTGGGGAACATGATCCAATTCGTGATAAATGGCTTGTGAAACACGAAAACCGAGGAGCTGAGGGGTCCATCGGTACCGCATCTTTGATCAATATCATAGAACATATATATATATATATATATTATATATACACGGCGTCGAAAACCGGGTAGCGATTTGGTTCTAATCCTTAAAAATCCTTATAAATCCTTATAAGCTTGCGCGACGGCTTTCGCGGTTCTTTCGTGCACACCGCGGCGACATTTGTTTCGTAATATCTTTCGCCTTGCTTTCGCGGAAAATTGACCGTAAATGATGGTGCACATGAATATTTAAATGCGCTGCTACTATCTACCTGCTTTCGCCGCTGCTTTCGCGGCTGGACCTTGACGCACTCCTTTCGCGGAGCTTTCGCGCGTGGAGGTTTTGCTTTCGCGGGGATTCCCCACATGAACCCGACTACGAAATCCCTTCATGGAGGTTTTTGATGCTGCTCAAATGATGGCAGTGGATGTAACATTCGTGAGCCAGCATCTTTCCATGTTTCATGGTTTCTAACATGTTACAGAGAATTTCCTGGCCGTGGCTATCACCAGATATGATCCAAGCCTGCAACTCTGTGGAAACGCTACTCTCTGCAAGTGGGGTGATAAAGCAAGTATCTTCGCATCTACAATAAAGAACCTAATCAGAGGTTCGCACAAGTAGCAACTGCAAGGGAGACGTGCAAATGTGCATGGCAATGAAAGCGCAACACATATACAGTAAATAGTTGAGATATAGACACATGTTACTATACCCTAAGCATGACTGTAGTGACTACATCCATATATACATACATACATACATACATACATACATACATTACATTACATTACATTACATTACATTACATTACATACATTACATACATTACATACATTACATACATTACATACATTACATACATTACATACATTACATACATTACATACATACATACATTACATACATTACATACATACATTACATACATACATACATACATACATACATACATACATACATACATACATACATACAGATACATACATACATACATACATACATACAGATACATACATACATACATACATACATACATACATACATTACATACATACATACATACATACATACATAAATACATACGTAAATACATACATAAATACATACATATATATTCATATAAAGCTTCAATGTATATATATATATATATATATACATACAATAATATATATATATATGTACATATATATATACATACAATAATATACATATATATATATACAATAATATATATATATATATATATATTATACATTATATACTACATATATATATGTATCACTTTATGCACGGTACTATATCCCTTGCATAACAATACACATATGACGTGTACAAGTCAATCCCATCTTCCATCCCTCCCGCCTGCGGATCAAATGCGTCCATCACCTTGGTAACTGGTGCGAATTGCAGTCAAATGGACGGTTCATAGTGGGGAAATCCATGAAAATCCTACCAAAGTGGTTATTGATTTGGTTATAAGATGGTCCTTTAAGATGGTTATAAGTTATCAATGATTACGGATGGTTATAAATTGGGGTATCACTAAACATACCTGGGGTGACTTACGGGCAGTTTTTGTTGGCTAAATTACAGTTTCGCTGCTTGAAGGCCCCAGGCACCATTGGACATTCTCATCACCACAGATGTCCATTTCCCACCAGTTGATTGATTAGTTGTCACCATGTGTCACCAACACCGCTAGGGTTTAACAGTCTAACATATAGAACCTAGCAAACCCGTAACTAGCAATTACAGTACATCAGAGGCATAAATCTTGCAAAGTCAGTTTTCCGATTTTCCGCATTCCAACTGATATCACAAATTTCCCAGGTCCTTGCCATCCAGTTGCCAGTCTCACGACGGCGGGTTTCAACACCGCATATCTCGAGTCGTCCCTCATCCGGGTGAAGTGATCTCGGCTCATCCGGTCCGGACACCAATGAACCTCAGCATCTTGAAAAGCCGAAAGCCTTGAGTTTTTAAGTGTCGTTACATCGTGTTTACCCCAAACCTGTTGTCAACACCCATGAAATACCAAAAGAATTGGGGAAGGTCCAAAAGATATTGAACGTGTGGATTCACATGTGAATTACCACAATTCAGATTGGAGCAACAAAAATGCTGTGATGTACTAACCCAGGATACTAAGGCAAAATTGATTCAATCTATGTAGATTGGCACTTCTTCGTGAATACGGATTCCATTTCATCACTTTCGGGAAATCGAGGGAATCCACACCAGGGAGCGAAGACGAGGTCCTCGCGCGAAAATAGAGCAAAGTAACCTCGTCATGGAAACGGACTGGAGCTCCGAGAAACTGATGGAGATCGTCACAGTTCTGTTTCTTGCTTAAATAAAATCCCCATGAAAATCCCCATGAACTGTATATATATATATATATATCATATAGAATATATCATTATATATCTACCATATATCGTTATTATATGAGTAGTAGTATTATTATTATCATTATTATTATTACTTTTATTACTATTATTACTATTATTACTATTATTACTATTATTACTATTATTACTATTATTACGATTATTACTATTATTACTATTATTACTATTATTACTATTATTAAATATAAATATTATATATTAAATATTATATATTATATATTATATATTAAATATTATATATTATATAGTATATACTATATATTATATATTAAATATTAAATGCTAAAGTAAATCACATTATATTATATTATATTACATCATATCATATTATATTATATTATCATAATATATATATATATATTGCATGCTAGTGGGAGTTTGTTAACCAAGGACACAAGTCTCTTGATCCACCTTTTATGACTTCCGTTTGTTCCTGTGAAAATTGACCATATGTAAAAATACGAAAACTGGTAGGTACGATGAAGAGAAGGAAAAAAGGAAGGCAATAAAGAAAAGGCATTCTGAAAAATCTATATGTTTTAAAGAACTATATATATATATTCTATATATATATATAGACAATGAATAATGAGACACGTTTGTACTATGTTTTGGGGCCTTTGGGGTTATCGTTTTTTTGGGGGAGACCCTATCGCTTTGCAGTGTTTAATGCAAGTTCCATGAATTTTTGGTGCCCTCCTTCATAATTCAATCTATGCTGATTTTGATATGTATAGGTTTGCATATAAGATTTCTGAATATATTCCTGGTATTTCCTGATTATTTCGGTATTCCTGATTCTTTCTGTATAGATGTAGATCTACGATCTATAGCTGAGACTAGGCTACTAGATATGTGATGAGCATACAAATGTGGGAGATTTTGCTGCGGTACCCTTTAATTTTTGTTCAAACGCCATGATGTTGTCTGTCGTAGCAATAGCTGATCACCCATCGTGTTTGTGTATTTGTTGGCTGTATCCCGCACTTGTACTGGTAAGCCATGTCCACTTTTCCTTGAAAAAATGCCATGGATATTTCCATCACCGTGTTCCAGGGACAAAAATATAAACTTCGGGATGTTAGACCTAATACAGTAATACAACATCCCCCAGTTTTCTATTCCATGTGTGAACCGCTTTGAAACCATACCCGCCCTGTCGGCCTGTCAGCATTGGGTGTGCCACACATTTTTTCCCAGCGATATCTGATGGCAATTCATCATGGTTTGAGCTGGTTGTGTACCATAATATCCTTACGACGGTTATATTGTACATTATAGAAAAAACTATATTAATTCAATATAGTTGTATATAATCCATGTGATTATTGAAAACTATGAACTAACATTGTATTATGGATGTATTATGGTGTGTATATATATATATGATACCTATATATGGTAGATTTTACATACCAGTCTAATATGATTAAGTGATATATGATTAACCCAACATATTAAGTGATACATAATTTTTAAGTGATATGATTAAGTGATATATAATTAACCCAACATATTAAGTGATATATAATGACTAAGTGATATGATTAAGTGATATGATTATATGATATGATATATATATATATATATATATACCCATAGGATCCATGTATGGTATATATGGTAACATTTACCATCAATATACCCCAAATGTTAGCATATATACCATACATGGATCCTATGGGATATGATTAATACACAAAAAATAAACGATTCGCAAAGCTCCTGTCATGCCTCGGCACAGGAGGTCGAGGGCAGTTCCGCCTTGGCCAACTGCGAGGGACTGCGGCAGTCCACGGCTTTGGCTTCCAGCTGTGGACCTGGCGCGGTCCAAATACCCGTTTTGGGCCCCGTTTTGGGAGGAGAAAGGATGGGTTTTTGCTGGGAAAACCATGGGAAAAGCATAGGAAAACTATGGAAAATAGAATGTTTTCATGTGTTTTCATGTTTTTTTCAGAGGAAATGATTGAAACTACGTTCATGGGTATAACCATGGTATTACCCCCATAAGTTGGGATATGGTGCTGTAACTATGGTCATGGGGAAAGCCCGGGAGAAATTTGGACAATTTGTGATTTGCTTCAGAGGGAAACCATGGCTGGTTGGTGGTTAATGGGGAAAATGATGGGTTTAACAAGGGTTAATGATCTTAATAGTGGATTACCCTCTGGTAATTTAACATAGCTATTGAAAATGGCCAGTTATAGTGGATTTTCCCATTAAAAATTGTGATTTTCAATAGTTATGTTAAATTACCAGTGGATTATCTGGTGGAATATATTTCTATATTCTGGTTGGTGGTTGACCCCTCTGAAAAATGATGGTTGGTGACCGAAAAAATGGGGTTGGGATGACATCCCATATATGATGGAAAAATAAAAGCCATGTGCCAAACCACCAACCAGTGATTTGTTTTGGATGGAAACCATGGAATATTTGAAACCGGAGATTGGATTTGGTGGGGCGGGAAAGCAAAGGAACATTGCATCTGGTGGATTTTTGTCGCTGCTTTTTGCGCACCCTGAAACGTGGGTTCTCTGAAAATAATGGATGCTTCGAGACTCAAGATGGCATGCGTAGCTGCCGATCACCACTGTCTGCAAAAATGGTCCAAAATTGAATATCCTTGGGTCATCTTTGGGTATCTTTAGTCATCTTGTATATACGGTACACAATATATATATATATAATTTATAATTATATATAATCAATATTAATTAATATGATATATTAAAATATATGAATATATATATATATATATGTATATCATTTAGCGGATCAGGACCCCACATCTCTTCCCCCTTTGAACAATTCTGTGTCCAAGTGCCTGTCCCCAAATCGTCAGCCACTTGGAGGATCATCCGCAAATCCCAGGTCAGTGGTGAAGATTTTTTAATTCACCATCATTAACCACTATCAGCCACTAATAGTTATTGAATAAACTATTGATAAATAAATGGGATTAATAAATGGGATAAATATCAACCAATATTTAACCATGGGATTAGTTATTGAATAAATGTTAGTTCCAGCTATAAGTGGCTAATTAATAGTGGTTATATAACCATAGTTGTGGTGGCCCCGTATCCCAACTTATGGTGGTTGTTACCATGATTATACAATTTATACGGTCCCAACTACCACCCCCCAAGTCCCCAAGTCCCAAATTTGGACCGGTTCTACCCATGGCTTGCCCAACGACGCCCCCAACCTGTCTGCGAGGCCGCGGAGAGTTGTTCCACGATGGTGGGCAAAGTCTTCATCTGCTTCAAGGAGAAGCGACCCGAGAAGATCAACTTCAAACCTGAGACAGGTGGCTGAGTGCCCGGCAAGTGGTGAGACAACCATGCTGATATTCTACTGCATATAGTTCCCACTTACATGATGGAGTTTCAAACGAATTACGAAGTCTGGGATGTACATCTGCCCGCAGGCTTGAGGGTATGCTACGGCAAACGGCACCTGTTTTTCTCTTGGGGGATGTTGAAGTTGCTATCCGCTATCCGCTACTGCGATATTTCCATACAAATCCAGTTATGAAAACATGGAGTTGAGAAACGAAAGAAGGCAATTCAACCAATAACAGTGGAAAATCCACCAGACATAGTATGTTTTCCCGTTGTTTTATGAGTGAAGTCCCCAAACGTTGGCCAATCATCCAAATAGGTCCGAAGAAACTAACGTGGAACCAGTGGAACCCCCAAACAAAAGCTGCAGTCCTCCATTTTGGACGGTTACCCTGCCCACATTGACAAAAACATGGAATGTTCGAGTAGATCCAAGTTTTTTTCACACGTGTCCCAAAAGAGAATAGCTGAGCTGGATATTGTATACGACAAGGAAAATAAGACGACTTTTGCTGTCTCGACTGCGACCATCCAGTTGGAATCCGTACTGTGAATTCAGGGCCTTCTTGTTTGGAGATCAGTGCCTTCACGTGATGCAAAAATGATGAAGATCCCCATTTAAGATGAAGGATATACTCAATACAGTACGTGTCTTATTTAGTTTTTTGGACTAAATGTTAGGTCTGTTCTGTGTATTTTCCATCTGGAGATTAACAAACATGTCTATTCTATGTAGGTCTTAGGTGTGTACTCAGCCCTCCAAGTAGGTCCAATAATTTTCACAGGGTACCCATAATTCTGCACAATGTATACAACAATGATCACAAAGCATCAGACAATAATTGACCATCATTAATATATATTAATAATACCAATTCCTGCATGTATTGATCTGAAACAATCCAAATGGTGGGAATTATCTTTTGAAAAATTGCAAATGTTTACAAAAGCTGCACATCACATCTGTTGCCTTCAACCCCCAATATTTATATATATATATATGGGGGTTGTCCAAAATACCTTTTCCCGGACAGCCCTCAATCGCTCAGCCAATCGCGTAGCAACCGCGGTACCACAGTGAGCAATCGCGGAAGGGTTTGTTCTTCGTTGATCAGATCATATACATAAAATATCATAAAATATAAGTTATGTATTATATAATGAAGCGTGACAAAAATCTTATGCTAATTCTTTGTAATATCATTGCTTTTCTGCTGAATTTGAAACAACTGCTACTGCTACTGCTACTGCTAGTGCTGCTGGTACTATTGTGAGTTTTCCGGACCGTTTCCGGACCGCACAAGCTTATTTTGCTCCCAAATTTGAAATCGAATGCGTTCACGCATGGATCCTTACTCTCATTACTAGACTTGCTACTACTCTTACTACTGCCACCACACCCGCTGCTACTGCACCACCACTACCACTAGTACACCTAGGAATTTCTGCCTTTGCTTTTAAATCCAATTGACACGAGTCCCGCTGAAGGGTCAGAAACCAGTCAAAAACCAGTCAGAAACCCGTCAGAAACCGGCCAAACGCAACCATCTGTTCCCCTCCCTCCCTCCCTCCCTCTCTCTCTCTCTTTCTCTCTTTCCCTCCCTCTCCCTTTCTTCCCTTGCCCTGCTACTAGAACTCCTACTCCTACTCCTACTCCTACCCCTCCTACTACTACTACTACTTCTACTACTTCTACTACTATTACTACTATTACTACTATTACTACTACTACTACTACTACTCCTGCTGCTGCTGCTACTACTCCTACTCCTACCCCTACTCCTACCCCTACTCCTACCCCTACTCCTACTCCTACTGCTGGTATTACTGTGAATTTTCCGGACCGTTTCCGGACCGCGCAATTTTCTTTTCTTCTCAAATATGAAAACGAATGCGTTCATGGGCGGATCCTTCTACTAGTGCTGCTTCTACTCTCAGTATTACCACTTGCGCCGCTACCACTGCAACGCCGCTACCACTACTACACCGAGGAATTTTTGCCTTTGCTTTTCTCCACTTGACAAAAGTTCCACGGAAGGGTCAGAAATCAGTCAGAAACCTGTCAGAAACCTGTCAGAAACCGGCCAAGCGCGAGTATATACACCTATGACTAACCTATGACTAATTTGGATGAAAGTGTATGGTGGAGCTATACAAAACTCAAACTAGAAAGGAATATATGATTTCGGACCGATTCCGGACCGCGCGCACTCTGGTAGCCGGCACAACCTGTATACACCTATGACTAATTTGGATGAAAGTGTATGGTGGAGCATACAACACTCAAACTAGAAACGAATATATGATTTCGGACCGATTCCGGACCGCGCGCACTCTGGTAGGCGGCACAACGCGTGCACACTTATGACTACTTTGCATGAAAGGGCACGGGGGAATTTACAACGCTCCTCACGTATATTGCCTGATCCACCCTCCGGAAAACTCACAGTAATACCAGTAGTAGGAGTAGGAGTAGGAGTAAGAGTAGGAGTAGTAGCAGTAGTAGTAGTAGTAGGGGTAGGAGTAGGACTAGGAGTAGGAGTAGGAATAGGAATAGGAGTAGGAGTAGGAATAGGAGTAGGAGTTCTAGTAGCAGGGCAAGGGAAGAAAGGGAGGAGAGAAAGAGAGAGAGAGAGAGGGAGGGAGGGCGGGGAACAGATGGTTGCGTTTGGCCGGTTTCTGACGGGTTTCTGACTGGTTTCTGACCCTTCAGCGGGACTCGTGTCAATTGGATTTAAAAGCAAAGGCAGAAATTCCTAGGTGTACTAGTGGTAGTGGTGGTGCAGTAGCAGCGGGTGTGGTGGCAGTAGTAAGAGTAGTAGCAAGTACTAGCAAGTCTAGTAATGAGAGTAAGGATCCATGCGTGAACGCATTCGATTTCAAATTTGGGAGCAAAATAAGCTTGTGCGGTCCGGAAACAGTCCGGAAAACTCACAGTAGTACCAGCAGCACTAGCAGTAGCAGTAGCAGTAGTGGTAGTGGAAATTGGAATAGGAGTAGGCGTAGGAGTTCTGGTAACAGGGTGAGGGAATAGGCAAGGGACAGAGAGAGAGAGAGAGAGAGAAAGAGAGGTTGCGTTTGGCCGGTTTCTGACTGGTTTCTGACTGATTTCTGACCCCTCAGTGGGACCTTTGTCATTTGGAAAAAAAGCAAAGGCAGAACTTTCGAAATGTAGTAGTGGAGACTGCCAGTATAATGCCACTATATATCTTGTAATAGCTTCGGGTATCTTACCATCCTCCTTACCGATCACCAGCCCCGTTCTGTTTTCGACGCATTCCTTTAGGGGTATGCATTAAGTTGCGCAGGGCCCTGGATCGCTCCCCCCAAGAATACGTCCGGTCCGGGGTACACCCGCTTCTGTTGATGGAACCGTTTAAAGTGATCGGCAGGAGCTATTTGTTGTAGTTGTTGTAGTAGTAGTAGCAGTAGTAGTAGTAGTAGTAGTAGTAGCAGGATTAGTAGTAATAGTAGTAGTAGTAGTAGAAGTAGTAGTAGTAGTAGTAGTGATAGAAGTAGTAGCAGTAGTAATAACCAATAATTACCAATGTTATAACTTGTTCATGGCTCATATAAATCCGTTGTTCTAGGCACAGCTTTCTTCTCGCCTTGCCATGCGCTGCAACAAACTTTGTGCTGCCTGGGACAAGCGCACGGGTCCCTCGGCCGCTTCCTGACGCGGCGGGAGCCTGGCGCACCGTGATACGAGATACGAACGGCGCAACGGAACGCTTACTTATGGAGCTGGATGGGAAATGGTGATTATGTGGGGATCTATATCAGTTGTTTTTGCGATGTAATTTCATACGTTTTAGCTGATTTGAAGAGGAAACAATGGATTTGACAAGTGAGTAAGTGGGTTCAAAACCCAGTTCTAAAGTAGGCTAAGAAGGGTAGGGTACAGTAGGTATGGCATGTAGCGGCCGAGTGTGGCACCGGGATGAACTAATCCATCTACGATCCCGGTGAGCCACCTAGTACAACGACATATGAAAAATCCTGGGGAAAAACCCAAGGAAATGGTCTATCTCATGGTGGATTATGACCAGATGTAAGTTATTTGTGCTACGTTACTAGAGGGTAAGAGGAAAATCCACCGGGGTCTTCCATTGCCAGAGTTTGATCATGAATGACTCCTTAAGGGCCCCCAGGGACGGTGGCAACGATATTTCATCAACACATCTACGATTGATGTGAACCAAACACAACCAAACGCAGTTTGATGGACATGTACTGGTTTTGTAGCAGAGCCACCTTTTGAATAAATATACCTGTCAACTGGCAACACAGGGAGAAAATAATCAAAATTGTGAAGTTGAATATACATGAAGATACGAAGTATGAAAAAAACACCAACAAATCAACGAAGGGGACATAACCATAGTCAGTATGTAAGTGGGGCAAATCAACAAGCTGAAAGTAGGAAGAATAGACGGTGATACGACATGACCTTCTTTAACTAACCGCAAGTTCAATTGCCATGTTTATTGACCAAATGATTAAATGATATATCAATAGCAACAACGCAGGGGATGTAACTATCTACAACAGGCCGAGGTACGATGCCCATCCCACCAAAACAACACCCGCGTAAGGAAAAAAACACATGCGGAAAAACCATCAAAACCCCACACTCCACTTCTTTCAGAACAGGTCTTGGATGGTTTTGGGGGCATGTTAAACCATGAGGGATGCCTTAAGGGTATTCCCCCCTCAGCATAAAATTTCATTCTGGCAATACTTGACTTCAAACAAAAAAAACATTCCAAGAACTCAATATGGTCACCAAAATAAATAAGTACCCTAGATCAGCTGGGTTTAGATCAGAAGACTTTGTGAACCCACATGCGCATAAATAAACTCAAAATAACTTAAAAACGCATTAAAAAAACACGTTTTCACATATTTAAGCATGTTATCCCATTAAAACGCATTTTTTAAATCATTTTGTTCATTTTATCTCATTTTATCTCATTTTTTATTTGGTTGGGGTACAAATGGGTATATACAAATATAAATTGGTGGATTATATATTATCTGAGGGACATGTGATACCAAACGTGTTATTTCTGGTGATTTTTTGAGTTCATTAATCACATCTTTATATTTTCAGTGTTGTGTGCATTTCTGGTAGGTAACCTTAATAAATAATCTAAAATGTCTCTGTTTATACTTCCATCTTTTCCACCCGTTCCTGATATATAAATAAAGTGTCTTGCCTGTCTTATATAATCCCGATGGGCTTCTGTATGCATTTGTCAATCCGTGTCTGTCTTCTGTTGCTTTTGTGTTGGCTATGTTCCTTTCTTCTTTATACAGTGTTGTATTTTGTCTGAATTGCTCATTAAGATTTCTTGCAAAGTTGTTCATCTTCTCATCTAAGTCTCTTTGTTTCTTGTCCGTGTCGTTCATCAACTCTTCTCTTCCTTGACGCATTAATTCATCAAATGCTACTCTACCTATTCTTTTTGCGAATAATCTCATCTCTTCTCTTGTTAATACATGTTCTATTGCTTCACTTCCCATAATTCTCTGAACAACCTCTCTCCCAAACTGCCTCCCCACCTGTCGCAATGCATTAGTCATTGCTATTCTTCCAACTCCTGCTACAACTCCAATCATTTATTTGTATATTAATGTTTGATAAAAATCATTTCTAATAATAGATCCAATCATGAGTCATGAGTAATAGATAAACATATAAAACTATTTTTGTAGATAGTAAGTATCGCAATGCTCAATCAAAATCTTCATCTGACTTTTCAGTGGAGTTAAACGAAAACTCAGAAACACCAGAGGAAACAAAACTCTATGTAACTGATATTTCTATTCCAGCGGTGTGGAAATCTACAGAGGTGGGCTTCTATGAATATATTTATGTTATGGTCATCATTGCCAACGGGTTCAGCAAAGGAAGCTGCTGCGTCCTGCGAATCCCTGAAAGACAAATGACTGCAGCAATAAATTCAACAATCACATGCAATATATAATCAAAAAACATGAAAAAAAACAAAAAAAACATTTTTGGGGGGTTTTGCACCTTTATTTTTTCATGCTATCATCAAGTTTGAGATTTTTTGAGATTTTTTGAGATTTTTTGTTAAACATAATTTACTTTTTTGCGAGATTTTTTGAGATTTTTTGAGATTTGTTATTTTCATTTTGATTTCTTTCTTGTGATTGTTTCATGTTTTAATCACAGTTTACCATAATATTACCTAAATATACCCTAATATTTTGACTAATGTATCGCCATTGAAGACCACAACATAAATATATTCATAGAAGCCCACCTCTGTAGATTTCCACACCGCTGGAATAGAAATATCAGTTACATAGAGTTTTGTTTCCTCTGGTGTTTCTGAGTTTTCGTTTAACTCCACTGAAAAGTCAGATGAAGATTTTGATTGAGCATTGCGATACTTACTACGTTACATGTTGCTACGCTGCTGAGACCTCTAGTGGGTGGGGTGGGTGGGGTGGGGTGGGGTGGGGTGGGGGGGGATGTTTAACGTTCCTTGTTTGCTACGCTGCTGAGATCTCTGGGATCGTTTACTACGTTACATGTTGCTACGCTGCTGAGACCTCTAGTGGGGGGGGGATGTTAACGTTCCTTGTACTTCGTACCTGATATATTGCTACGCTGCTGAGATCTCTGGGATCGTTTACTACGTTACATGTTGCTACGCTGCTGAGACCTCTAGTGTGGGGTGGGGTGGGGTGGGGTGGGGGGGGATGTTAACGTTCCTTGTACTTCGTACCTGATATATTGCTACGCTGCTGAGATCTCTGGGATCGTTTACGACGTTACATGTTGCTACGCTGCTGAGACCTCTAGTGTGGGGTGGGGTGGGGTGGGGTGGGGGGGGATGTTAACGTACCTATATAACGCGCCGCAAGTTTTTCCAGGCTTTCCAATCATCAAATTGGCACGGCACTGTGGTAAAATCACCATTTTTTAAAGCGATGACGCTGAAAAAGGAAAAAACGCGCCCCAAGTTTTTCCAGGATTTCCAATCATCAAATTGGCACGGCACTGTGGTAAAATCACCATTTTTTTAAAAAAAATGTGCGTTTTATGGGAACGGTTTCCGGTCCGGCGGGATGTTTATCTATTACTCATGGCTCATGATTAGATCTATTATTAGAAATGATTTTTATCAAACATTAATATACAAATAAATGATTGGAGTTGTAGCAGGAGTTGGAAGAATAGCAATGACTAATGCATTGAGACAGGTGGGAAGGCAGTTTGGGAGAGAGGTTGTTCAGAGAATTATGGGAGGTGAAGCAATAGAACATGTATTAACAAGAGAAGAGATGAGATTATATATTCGCAAAAAGAATAGGTAGAGTAGCATTTGATGAATTAATGCGTCAAGGAAGAGAAGAGTTGATGAACGACACGGACAAGAAACAAAGAGACTTAGATGAGAAGATGAACAACTTTGCAAGAAATCTTAATGAGCAATTCAGACAAAATACAACACTGTATAAAGAAGAAAGGAACATAGCCAACACAAAAGCAACAGAAGACAGACACGGATTGACAAATGCATACAGAAACCCATCGGGATTATATAAGACAGGCAAGACACTTTATTTATATATCAGGACCGGGTGGAAAAGATGGAAGTATAAACAGAGACATTTTAGATTATTTATTAAGGTTACCTACCAGAAATGCACACAACACCGAAAAGTATAAAGATGTGATTGATGAACTCAAAAATCACCAGAAATAACACGTTTGGTGGATTATGACGATGGCCATGTGCATATGGTTTTAGACAATAAAAATCAAGTTTCTTTGTTTTTTCATTTTTTCCATTTTTTTTCATATTATATAATTTTCCTTCGGTTTTGTTCGTTTTTATCATCTTACTGTTGGTTAGAGATTTGTTTCCGATCTAAACCCCTCCGATCCAGGGTACTTATTAAGTTTAGTGATATGGGGTTTTGGAATGATATTTGACAAAATGATGCCCCTATATTTTTTCCTAGCAAAACGTAAGCAATCGTAAGCAGCTGTGGGCCAACGGCCGAAAAAGGTTTCCGTCCTTGCAGAGTTGCGGCACAACTTTAAACATAATCAGATAGGACCAAGAAGAGCCAGCATTTTTTGCATTCTCATGGTTTCATTGATTTTGGATGGTTTTTCCCGTTTCTGGGCTAGTTTGGTGGTTGTGACCTAGTGGGAATGAGTGAGAAAGGGAAAATGATTGGTTCTCACTGGTTTGTGTTTTTTTTGGCCAATTTCTGGACTAGTTTTGTGATTGTAGCAGCTGCCCACTTGGAAAGCCCACAAAGAAGTTTTCCCAACCTTGCGTACGTCCCCCTATTTCTTCCATATTCCTTTCATTGTAATCCAAAGAACCCTCGTTGGCCATAGTGGGAATGAGTGGGAAAGGGGGAAATGTTTGGTTTTCATTGGTTGTTGACAATTCTTGCCAGTTTCTGGGCTAGTTTGGTAATTGTGGCAGCTGCCCACTTTGGTTTTTGAGGGGCGCCAGGCATCTCCAATACCCCTAGAATAATTTTCCCCTGGGGGAAACCGACAAAATGGCACTCAACCTGGCCCTCTCCTAGACATGTTCCTAACCTTGCGTGCTTCCCCCTATTTCTTCCATACTCCCTTCATTGCCATCCAAAACTCTCGAGAAAGTACCGTGAGAGAAAGGTGGTCCGTTGGACACTAGTTATGCTTGCAAGTACGCTGCAAAAAAAGGTTGGCAGCAATTGCCATCAATTGCCCCAACTGCATGATGCCTCAAAAACCTCTCGGGAAGTAAGGAAGAAAGGACACTATATAGGAACGTTTAGTTGTTTCGAGATGTTTTAAGATGTTTTAAGTTATAGAAAATTAATCCAAAACCAACTTATTCCGGGGTATGTTGACGGGGGGGATCATGATTTCAAGAATTCCAACATGCAAAAACGTATACCTACCCCTTGAAGAAATTATTCCAGGAAAAGTATTCCAAAAAAAATATTCCATAACCGCCATAACCTAGTTGATACCCTGGAATATGTTTAAAGGGATGGGTCATGTTAAACCCATGGTTTTTGCCCATGTTTTTCCAACCCATTTTCCCCAGGACCGCCCCATCCCCACCTGGGCGCCATGGTCTCCGCATCGCCGCCACGCAGCGCCTGTGCGGCACGGGACCACAGCAGCTGCTGGGCTTCACGCAGCAGCAGCTCCCGGAGGAAGAAGGGCTGCGGCAGCTGATCCGCCAAGAGGTTGCGGCTGCGAACGTACCTGGCGATCTTTGAGAAGGTCATTGGGCTGAAGAAGAACTGCTATAAGATAGCTATAAGAACTGATATATTAGAAATTATTGATATTACTATAAGATATAGTTATATGTTATAAACTATCATAAGATATAGTCTTATCGTTGTAGAATGTTGTAAATACCTACAAGGTGAGGCGCCCAAACAACGTAATCGCGAGAGCTTGAGGCCTCACCTTTGTAAGATGGATGGCGATGGAGATGGGGCATGGATGGGCATGGGGAGATGGGGATGAAATGTTTTTCTATGTTTTTCTGTGAAAAAAATTGAAGCATTAAATAAAGTGCGGAAATGAATACATGCATGAATGATTTAATTATAATTCATTAATTATATTATCAATTGATATCAACTGTGTATGTCTATGATAGGTGATTGCTGGCGCTGGTGGGACGGATGTAGATAGCTGCTCAACCCAGCAAACATGTTCCAAACCAAACCCCGCAAGTCATTCCATCTCAAGAAATCTATATGGCATGGTCCATACGGTTTGATCTTGATCCATACAGAAACAGGTTTGATGGGTCCCTGCTGCAGCTTCTACCATCTGCTATGGTTCGATCATGTTCGATCGTTCCCAGCCATACCTCTCCTGTAAAAAATCAGCGAGTAGGCTAGAATCTTTCTTGACCCCCCTGATGGTTGATGCTTCTACATGGGTTTATACCAACCAGAGGATTTGCTGTGGAATCAGCATCCAATGTGGGAAATCTTAGGAGGCAATATCGTGTGTATACACATATATATATTTATTTATTTATTGATTTATTTATTTATGGATTATATACATACACATTTACTCACTTATAATCAGAAAGAGGAATGTTATATTGTGTTTATATATATATACACATATGTGTGTAATGTGCGATTCTTGAGATAAATCAAGTCAGCATGCGTTTCAGTACATGACTAAGACTAAGTCATGGTCAAATGATTTGGATGATTTGGGGTACCCTCTGGTAAACTGACATAACTATGGAAAATCACCATTTTACTAGCAAAATCAACTAATGTTGGATACTGATTAGTGTGGGGATACGGTATTGTGTCCACAGACCTCAAAATTATTCTGTAACTCTGGAAATGTTTGAGGGTACACTATTGTGTCCACAGGATTTTGGTGTAAGTTGTTTTTTTCATTTTTTGTTTTTTAGTTTTTAATTGTTTTTATTTTATTTTTTAATTTTTAAATATTTTTATTTTTATTTTTAATTATAATAATTTTTAATTTAACTATATTTAATTATTTTTTATTTTATTTTAAATTATTATTTAGTTTTATTTTTAATTATAATAATTTTTAATTTAATTAGTTAATTATTTTTTATTTTATTATTTATTTATTTTTATTTTTAATTATATAATTTTTAATTTAATTATTGAATTATTTTTTACTTTATTTTAAATTATTTTTTTTAATTATATAAAAAAAAAAATATTTTTTTATTATTTTGTAAAATTGTGTCAGGATACACAATTGTGTCATTGTGTCAGGATACACAATTGTGTCTTGGTCTTTTTTTGTTGTTCAAACATTTCATTTTTTTCATTTTTTTAAAGCTTTTTCCTTTTACTTTTTATTTTCCATCATTGAAATTTTCCAGATGCCTTCCACAGAAAATTACATCCAGGTACAAAAAAGTTTGGTTTGTTTGGAGGGTACACTATTGTGTCCAGCTGCTTTCCTGAGGTCATGGTTTTTTTTTCAATCATTTCCTTTACCTTTTCCTTTGCTAGCTAAAGTGTTTTCCTTTCAATTAATTTCTTTCTTAGTTTCTTTCATTTGAAATTCTCAGAAATGACCAGTTTCCCAAAATATATGATGCCTTATTAAAACCCAATTAAAAACCATGACTCAAACAATTTTTCAAGGGAGTAGTCCATGAGCAACCCTGATACAGAATAGTGTGGTTTGTTTGGAGGGTACACTATTGTGTCCAGCTGCTTTCCTGAGGTCATGATTTTTTGATTTTTTTCAATCATTTCCTTTACCTTTTCCTTTGCTAGCTAAAGTGTTTTCCTTTCAATTAATTTCTTTCTTAGTTTCTTTCATTTGAAATTCTCAGAAATGACCAGTTTCCCAAAATATATGATGCCTTATTAAAACCCAATTAAAAAACATCACTCAAACAATTTTTCAAGGGGGTAGTCCATGAGCAACCCTGATACAGAATAGTGTGGTTTGTTTGGAGGGTACACTATTGTGTCCAGCTGCTTTCCTGAGGCCATGATTTTTTGATTTTTTCAATCATTTCCTTTACCTTTTCCTTTGCTAAAGTCTTTTTTCTTTTAATTGCTTAATTACTTTCTTAGTTTCTTTCATTTGAAATTCTCAGAAATGCCCAGTTTCCCAAAATATATGATGCCTTATTAAAACTCAATCAAAAAACATCACTCAAACAATTTTTCAAGGGGGTAGTCCATGAGCAACCCTGATACACAATAGTGTGGTTTGTTTGGGGGTACACTATTGTGTCCAGCTGCTTCCTGAGGTTATGTTTTTTTTCAAACATTCCCTTTTCCTTTTCCTTTGCTAAAGTTTTTTTCCTTTATGGTATTTCTATGGTATTACTATTGGATTTCTATGGAATTCCTATGAGGTCTCCATGATGTTTCTATGATATTTCTGGGGGATTTCTATGGGATTTCTGAAGGGGTGCTATGGGAGTTCTATGGTATTCTTATGGGATTTCCATTGGATTCCTATGGGATTTTTATGGTATTTCTATGATCTTTCCTATGGAATTTCTATTGGATTCCTGTGTGATGTTTCTATGATCTTTCTATGGGATTTCTGTGAGATTCCTATGGGATTTCCATGTTATTTCTATGATCTTTCTATGGGATTTCTGTGAGATTCCTATGGGATTTCCATGTTATTTCTATGAGAGATTCCTATGGGATTTCCATGTTATTTCTATGATCTTTCTATGGGATGAGATTCTTATGGGATTTCCATGGTATTTCTATGATCTTTCTATGGGATTTCTGTGAGATTCCTATGGGATTTCCATGTTATTTCTATGATCTTTCTATGGGTTTTCTGTGAGATTCCTATGGGATTTCCATGGTATTTCTATGATCTTTCTATGGGATTTCTGTGAGATTCCTATGGGATTTCCATGTTATTTCTATGATCTTTCTGTGGGATTTCTGTGAGATTCTTATGGGATTTCCATGTTATTTCTATGATCTTTCTATGGGATTTCTGTGAGATTCCTATGGGATTTCCATGTTATTTCAGTTCTTTCTATGATCTTTCTATGGGATTTCTGTGAGATTCTTATGGGATTTCCATGTTATTTCTATAATCTTTCTATGGGATTTCTGTGAGATTCCTATGGGATTTCCATGTTATTTCTATGATCTTTCTATGGGGCTTCTGTGAGATTCCTATGGGATTTCCATGTTATTTCTATGATCTTTCTATGGGGTTTCTGTGAGATTCTTATGGAATTTCCATGTTATTTCTATGATCTTTCTATGGGATTTCTGTGAGATTCTTATGGGATTTCCATGTTATTTCTATGATCTTTCTATGGGATTTCTGTGAGATTCTTATGGGATTTCCATGTTATTTTAGTTATTTCTATGATCTTTCTATGGGATTTCTGTGAGATTCCTATGGGATTTCCATGTTATTTTTATGATCTTTCTATGGGATTTCTGTGAGATTCCTATGGGATTTCCATGTTATTTCTATGATCTTTCTATGGGATTTCTGTGAGATTCCTATGGGATTTCCATGTTATTTCTATGATCTTTCTATGGGTTTTCTGTGAGATTCTTATGGGATTTCCATGTTATTTCTATGATCTTTCTATGGGATTTCCATGTTATTTCTATGAGAGATTCCTATGGGATTTCCATGTTATTTCTATGATCTTTCTATGGGATTTCTGTGAGATTCCTATGGGATTTCCATGTTATTTCTATGATCTTTCTATGGGATGTCTGTGAGATTCTTATGGGATTTCCATGTTATTTCTATGATCTTTCTATGGGATTTCTGTGAGATTCCTATGGGATTTCCATGTTATTTCTATGATCTTTCTATGGGGTTTCTGTGAGATTCCTATGGGATTTCCATGTTATTTCTATGATCTTTCTATGGGGTTTCTGTGAGATTCCTATGGGATTTCCATGTTATTTCTATGATCTTTCTATGGGATTTCCATTCCCTTTACATTTTCCTTTGCTAAAGCTTTTTTTTATTTTCTCAATTAGTTTCTTTTATTTAGGATTCTCAGAAATGCCCAATTTCCCAAAATATATGATGCCTTATTAAAACCCAATTAAAAAACATCACTCAAACAATTTTTCAAGGGGGTAGTCCATGAGCAACCCTGATACAGAATAGTGTGGTTTGTTTGAGGGTACACTATTGTGTCCAGCTGCTTCCTGAGGTTATGTTTTTTTTTCAGCCATTTCCTTTTCCTTTTCCTTTGCTAAAGTTTGTTTCCTTTTACTTAGCTTCATTTTTCTTGGAATCAAAACCAAAGGCTTTCCAAAGGATTAGTTTCAGCCAAGCAAAAAAAACATGAATGATCATGATATACAATAGTATGGTTTGTTTGAGGGTACACTATTGTGTCCAGCTGCTTCCTGAGGTGATTTTTTTTGAAACATTCCCTTTACCTTTTCCTTTGCTAAAGTTTGTTTCCTTTTACTTAGCTTCATTTTTCTTGGAATCAAAACCAAAGGCTTTCCAAAGGATTAGTTTTAGCCAACCAAAAAAAACATGAATGATCATGATACACAATAGTATGGTTTGTTTGAGGGTACACTATTGTGTCCAGCTGCTTCCTGAGGTGATTTTTTTAAAACATTCCCTTTACCTTTTCCTTTGCTAAAGTTTGTTGCCTTTTACTTAGCTTCATTTTTCTTGAAATCAAAACCAAAGGCTTTCTAAAGGATTAGTTTCAGCCAAGCAAAAAAAAATGAATGATCATGATACACAATAGTATGGTTTGTTTGAGGGTACACTATTGTGTCCAGCTGCTTCCTGAGGTGATTGTTTTTTTTCTTTTACTTGAAAGTAAATTGAAATCAATTGCAAGTAAATTGAAATCAATTGAAAGTAGCTCGAAATGAATATGATCATGATACACAATAGTATGGTTTGTTTGAGGGTACACTATTGTGTCCAGCTGCTTCCTGAGGTGATTTTGTTTTTTTTTTTACATTCCCTTTACATTTTCCTTTGCTAAAGTTTTTTCTTTTATTTTCTCAATTAGTTTCTTTTATTTAGGATTCTCAGAAATGCTCAATTTCAAAAAATATATGATGCCTTAATAAAACCCAATTAAAAAACATCACTCAAACAATTTTTGAAGGGGGTAGTCCATGAGCAACCCTGATACACAATAGTGTGGTTTGTTTGGGGGTACACTATTGTGTCCAGCTGCTTCCTGAGGTGATTTTGTTTTTTAACATTCCCTTTACATTTTCCTTTGCTAAAGTTTGTTTCCTTTTACTTAGCTTCATTTTTCTTGGAATCAAAACCAAAGGCTTTCTAAAGGATTAGTTTCAGCCAAGCAAAAAAAACATGAATGATCATGATACACAATAGTATGGTTTGTTTGAGGGTACACTATTGTGTCCAGCTGCTTCCTGAGGTGATTTTGTTTTTTTAACATTCCCTTTGCATTTTCCTTTGCTAAAGTTTTTTTTATTTTCTCAATTAGTTTCTTTTATTTAGAATTCTCAGAAATGCACAATTTCCCAAAATATATGATGCCTTATTAAAACCCAATTAAAAAACATGACTCAAACAATTTTTCAAGGGGGTAGTCCATGAGCAACCCTGATACACAATAGTGTGGTTTGTTTGGGGGTACACTATTGTGTCCAGCTGCTTCCTGAGGTGATTGTTTTTTTTCAACCATTTCCTTTTCTTTTTCCTTTGCTAAAGTTTGTTTCCTTTTACTTAGCTTCATTTTTCTTGGATTCAAAACCAAAGGCTTTCCAAAGGATTAGTTTCAGCCAAGCAAAAAAAAACTTGAATGATCATGATACACAATAGTATGGTTTGTTTGAGGGTACACTATTGTGTCCAGCTGCTTCCTGAGGTGATTTTGTTTTTTAACATTTCCTTTACATTTTCCTTTGCTAAAGCTTTTTTTATTTTCTCAATTAGTTTCTTTTATTTAGAATTCTCAGAAATGCACAATTTCCCAAAATATATGATGCCTTATTAAAACCCAATTTAAAAACATGACCCAAACAATTTTTCAAGGGGGTAGTCCATGAGCAACCCTGATACACAATAGTGTGGTTTGTTTGGGGGTACACTATTGTGTCCAGCTGCTTCCTGAGGGATTGTTTTTTTTTTATTTTTTTTCAACCATTTGAAATCCTTTTCCTTTAAATTGAAACCACTCCTTTTACTTAGTTTCATCAATTTCTTGGAATCAAAAGCAATTGAAAGTAAATTGAAATCAATTGAAAGAAAAAATTGAAATCAATTGAAAGTAAATTGAAATCAATTGAAAGTAAATTGAAATCAATTGAAAGTATATTGAAATCAATTGAAAGTAATTTCTTTAATTTCATTGCTAAAAATCAATTGAAAGTAAATTGAAATCAATTCAAAATAAATTCAAATCAATTGAAAGTAAATTGAAATCAATTGAAAATAAATTGAAATCAATTGAAAGTATCAATTGAAATCAATTGAAAGTAAATTGAAATTGAAATTCAAATCAATGAAAGTAAATTCAAATCAATTGAAAGTAAATTGAAAATAAATTCAAATCAATTGAAAGTAAATTGAAATCAATTCAAAATAAATTCAAATCAATTGAAAGTAAATTGAAATCAATTCAAAATAAATTCAAATCAATTGAAAGTAAATTGAAATCAATTGAAAATAAATTCAAATCAATTGAAAGTAAATTGAAATCAATTGAAAATAAATTCAAATCAATTGAAAGTAAATTGAAATCAATTGAAAATAAATTCAAATCAATTGAAAGTAAATTGAAAGCAACTCAAAATAAATTGAAATCAATTGAAAGTAAATTGAAATCAATTCAAAATAAATTGAAATCAATTTAAATCTATCAATTTTTTTTGATTTTACACTATTCTGTACCCGGTTCCTTGTTTTTTCCACACTATTCTGTAACGCAAATTTGTTTGGGGGGGGGGGGGCCTCCCCACACTAATCAGTAACCTACATTATAAATGACAATTTTCAATAGCTATGTTAGTTTACCGGAGGGTACCCTATGACTTAGGAAACGGCACTGCTACCATGGCGCCTCAGCCGTTCCACCTCCGGAACCACATCCGGCAGCCAGGCCAACAACAGCCAGCGACCATCGATGTTTTCGCTGACATCTGCACGGAACAACAGGAAGCTGGGCCTTCAGCTGGTGAAAATCGGAAGTTCATATCCCACATGAAATTACCATGAAATCCCCAATAAATGGATTAATGTGCCATGGTCATACATAGATTAATATGGATTATATAATGTGGTATGGTCATCCCACAATCAGGGATTCTTTCCGCCGTGCAAATCCCTATTAATGATTGATGACCAGCCCCCAATATTGGAAAACAACCCACGTTTTGACGGAATGCAGCGCGCACGAAGTCGCACCACCAACGCCCCTTCCCGGTTAAGGGGGGTAGGAGGTGCAAGGAGGCGGGCAAACCGAGAATGGAAAGCACGCAGCTAACTACAATGTACTGGCAGTATGCCAGGGAAATGTCACACTAAGAATAGCAGTTGACAAAACACGTCGCGCGGTCGTCCCTTGCCGAGTGAAAAGCCAATGGCATACAGAAACAGCAATGTTGTCAGAGCTGCTTCGAAAATGACAGATCTTAGAAAGCTGTACAGCAACAAGCTCAAGCACAAAGGCAAGCAAGAGAGTTTTGGCAAACAAGTACAAGCAAGCATCAACTGCAAGCAAATCAAGACAAGGAAAAACCTGTCACAAAGTGCAGGCACCAAACTGTTGGTAAACTTGGGGTGTTCCGCCCTCCGGCTTTTTTACTTTTTGTATTGTGCGGTCACGACCTCCTACTCAATGACAAGCTCGGGTGGCAAGCTATCAACATCATCGAAGTCAGACTGACAAGCCAGAACCTACAAGTGATGCACAAGAGTGCGCTGGTAGGCTAGAACACACTTATGGCTCAAGTCCGGGGCAAAGGCTGAAGTCACCGGCAAATCAGGGCATTGCAGAAAGCGAGTGACATGAGCCCATACACAATATCCTCCGCAAAGCAATCCAACGACACACACACACACCATGCCATGAGGGTTTGGGTTTCTGCATTCTGGTGTTGGCATCACACCTCCACCATCTGTCATGATTTCAAGATGCTTGGCCAGGCCAAAGGCATGCGAGCAAACAACGGACGTCAATCTACTCCATGGTTCAAGTGTCATCTTCAAGAGGTAACTGTCTGTGATGTCATGTGGACGCGACCTGACTTCAGTCCCATGCCACGGAACTGACTGATATTTCACCGAAAGATGAGAAGTATCCACAAGACCGGACAACAGAACCTCTGAAGATCCAATAGCAACCACCCGAAGGCCAATCAAAGTCAAAACACAAGTCACTCGATAGTGGCAGGGGCACACCGAAAGCAATGGGGTCACATACGTGGAAGCCTGAGCCCAGAGGCTACCCACGTTTTGACCGTAGCACATAATGAGGTAAACCAAATGATAATATCATCCCAAACTGGAAATTTAGCCACTAATAAACCCCGTTTGAGGATTGCTTTCTATTGGTTTTACCTAATTATGGCTGGCGTCTATCGCTTTAATGTGTACATATATATATATACAGAGATATATATATATATATACATCACTTTGATTAACTTTGTATGACCGGGCTATAGATGACTATGATTTTGCTAGCTATTCCCAACTCGCTGGGATACATATCCTACAGTAGATGATCCTAGTAAGCTTGGTATAACTGGTTTTCATATCCATACGGTATTGATTGCTATCTCACCGATGTCTGGGATATTATGCCATCAGCTCCTCCAAAGGCCCCAAATCTCTGCAAATCCAAGGGACTTATCAGGCTCCAACAAACCTCGCAGGGCACGGCATGGTATTCCATCAGGCATGGACGGTCATGGTTCATCGTGGTGTTGGTACGGGCACAGCTGGACACTCAAACTCCCCCCAGAGAGTCCAGCATGTAATCTTTGGTCGGTAGGAAAAACCCTGCGTTTCGTGATACATTTATATGTCATAGTCACATTTCCTCCACCTGAGACTGATTTGAAATTCTGACCCCCATGCCCTGCACCCCCCAGGGACCCCAACCTTGCACACAACGCGCAAACTCCTTGTCCAAAGTTTCGCCCTCTCCAGAGCAAAACATCAGATTTCACCCCTCGGATTTGGGTACCTAAAAATGGCTTCAAGATGCTTCAAGCAGCATTTTCAGGGTTGCTCCCACCCCCTTGAAGAGGTAAAATGACTAGTTCCCCCCTGTGGCTATAACGGTTACGTATGGATTGGAGCAATCCTGATCCATTGTGTTCTCCGTTTCAAGACGCGCGAAGCGCTACCCGTTATTTTGTGAAGATATCCTAATGGAAGTTGCCGGATGATTTGGGTTTTGTTCCCAACTCATGTTGCCAGTCACCAGCATCATGGTTTGTCCCCCCTCCGGTCGGCCTCATCCGGCATGGAATTGGCCAGTGCCAGTGCATAGCGCTCCTCGCTGGAGGACTTCTTCGTAACAATGGCCTCCAAGCAACGCCAACGCAACGCCCACAAGGATCGGGGATCAGGTTTTGGGGGCATGGAGTGAAGCCCGTTTGTTGGGGGAAATCCATGATTTCTGTTGCTCAAATCACAGTTCTACAGATCAAACAACCCTATGTCATCCTATTTTCGTCTGTCGGATCTGAAAATAGGGTGCCTAAAATCCAGCGATTTATCAGCATCGTTTCCAATTGTCATCCATTGGGTATTCCCTGTGATTTGGAATCTTGTGTTGATTAAATCCCTATTTTGGTTCCCATTTTCTTGGCTTAATATCTTCACTTTCTGACCCACCTATCCTGCCAGAAAAAACATAAATCTTACTGGGTTAAATCATGTTTCTTGCTTCAAAACTCCAAAAAACGCTCGAATCCACCCATGTCCACTTATAAACTCTTCATCATTTAAGTTTTGTTCAGGTGACATTTGACATCTTCAACATCTATTTTGCCATATTTTGGGGTTGAAACATGGAAAAAAAAACGCCCCTTTCTGTTGGTCAAACAGCCCCTTTCCCACCACCTTGACCCCTCGCAGGCAGCGACTCCGGGCCGCCCGCAAAGTCTGTCGCAGCTGGCCGTCCACCGAGTCAGCCATGGCCGATCCGAGGTGATCACCGGAATCGCTCGACAAATTCATATATACTTAATATATATATATTTATTTATTTATTTATTTCCCCACCTGCCAGGTGAGGGTTGTTAGATTTTATGTCAGTTGCCTCCTCCTCCTTCTCCTCCTCCTCCTCCTTCTCCTCCTCCTCCTCCGCCTCCTCTCCTCCTCCTCCTCGTCCTCCTCGTCGTCCTCGTCGTCCTCGTCGTCCTTGCTCAACTGCGACCCGCGATCCACAGTGTTCTCTGCCGGACCTCAACCACGACCATCCACGCCCAGTGTTCCCTGCCGGACCTCAACCACGACCATCCACGCCCAATGTTCCCTGCCGGACCTCAACCACGACCATCCTCGCCCAGTGTTCCCTGCCGGACCTCAACCACGACCATCCACGCCCAGTGTTCCCTGCCGGACCTCAACCGCGAGTATCCACGCCAAGTGTTCCCTGCCGGACCTCATGTAGGAAGATATGGGACAAAGAATGTGCAGAAGAAAGTTAGAAAGAATGTCAGAAAGAATGTCAGAAGATATGCCAGAAGATATGCCAGAAGATATGCCAGATAGAATGCCAGATAATATAGATATGCCAGATAGAATGCCAGATAGAATGCCAGAAGATTTGCCAGATAGAATGCCAGCCAGAAGATATGCCCAGAAGATATGCCAGATAGATATGCCAGAAGATATGCCAGAAGATATGCCAGAAGATATGCCAGATAGAATGCCAGAAGATATGTCAGATAGAATGCCAGAAGATATGTCAGAATATATGCCAGAAGATATGCCAGAAGAGAATGCCAGAAGATATGTCAGATAGAATGCCAGAAGATATGCCAGATAGAATGCCAGAAGATTTGCCAGATAGAATGCCAGAAGATATGCCAGAAGATATGCCAGATCATATGCCAGAAGATATGCCAGATAGAATGCCAAATAGAATGTCAGAAGATATGTCAGATAGAATGCCAGAAGATTTGCCAGTAAGAAAATGTATAAATGTCATGGTGGGGATCACACGAAGTAAAGCAATTATTTATTTATTTATTTAGTTATTCATTTATTTTTTTAATTATTTATATGTAAATATTTATATATATATATATACACTTATTTTGATATATATATATATTTATTTAGTTATATATGTTTATCTGGATCATATTTATCGATAAAACACTTTTTTCATGTGCTTCCAGCATGCTATAAATATTTACATCTATACCTCATATATTTCCAGATGTCCAAGAATGTCCAAGTGGTCGGCAATGGGATCTTGAGTCGCCCATTTGGAGATTTCCTGAAATGGGGGTACCCCTACATCATCCATTTATAGATGGATTTTCCATTATAAACCATCTATTTTGGGGTACAGTACCCCCATCTATGGAAACATACTTTGTTTGGGGGATACAAAACCAGGAAAAAAACTGCCAGAGACATTGAAACAAGGCACAGCAAACAATGGAAATCGAACATGATGGAAATAGCCTGCAGAATCCGTGTAGAGGCTTCATGAGGCTTCCTTTGCAGCCTTTGAGCCCAAAGGCTAGGAGGATCCCATGGTTTCCCCCACACAAAATCTATCCGCTAGAAGCCGTAAATTTGTAGATCCCATTGAACCGCCGGTGAATTTCCGGTTACTAGGACCCTATGCCTATGCCCATCTTTGGTTCCTTGCGCAGCTACGTGATACTGGGATGAAGTTTGAAGTTTTGACGCATCCCAAGTGTGGCAAATTTGGAATGGTTGCCATTTGGCAATTTAAGAGTTTAGTATGACAAAACACAATTAGAATAGGTAAATCGTCCAACGAAATGGGCCATGGCTTAAATAGCTGTGTTGATTGATTACTGGAGGGCATGCTGTATCATGCTATATCATGCTATATCATGCTGTATCATGCTATATCATACTCCATGGATTAATCATTGTTCTCTCCCCATTGAAGTTGCTGTGAGCTATGGGGATACCCCATTTTGAGACACACCCTTTTGACTGCACTAAACCTTGAAAAACTTCAGGTTCCATGATGTAATTCGCGGTGCAGATCCCTCGCGTGGTTTGTTGATTCGTATCCCACAGCAAACATGGTTGTCCCCATGGGAAAAGCAAACAAATGTGCAAAGACATGTCTTTATTCATGTGCATAGGTGTACGTGCCATATGTATTATATTTATAGACATGTAATAGCCATGATCACAGACATGTGGTAATTATGTATCTATACATATTATACATATAAATATGTGATGTGTATATGTATACATAATATGTATACATAATATACGGTATGTATATATATATAAATAGACAAATATATATATATAATTATACACATCCCCACTACTATGTCTACACATCCCCACTTGACGCCTCCGAATCCCCACCTTCTCCGGTAGTCCAGCGATCTGGGCCACATTATGGCCGTGGGAGGCGGGACAAAGTCCTTCGAGTCGTCAAGGAGGCTGGAACAAATATGAGTATATTATATGCTTATAGTGGTTATCATGGATAAAAACCACTAGTTTATTAGTCCTTCGAGTTTGATTAATATCATATTATAACCATTATAAACCATGTTATAAACCATTATAACATGTGATTCTTAATATAATGTGTATATATATAATTAGATTTATCTGGATTTTATATATCATATTAAAATGGTTATAGTGGAAAATCTTACTAGAATTAAGGGGTACCCCTATTTCAGGAAACCTCCATTTAGATCATATTTATCTCCATAAATCACTTTGTTTCATGTGTTTCCAGCATGCTATAAACACTTACATTAATACCTCATATATTTCCAGATGTCCAAGATTCTCCAAGTGGCCGATCTATTTTGGGGTTGCTATTTTTGTGAGTTTCAAGCCAGTAATGTGATCTTAAGCCACCCATTTAGAGGTTTCCTGAAACGGGGGTACCCCTAAATCATCCATTTATAGATGGATTTTCCACTATAAACCATCCAGCTATTGCGGTATCCCCATTTCAGGAAACCTCCATATGAGTTTGATTTAATACCATAACAAATAAACCTCACTAGAACACCATTAAATTTATTAAATATCACACCGGATCAGTAAACAATATAACCCAAGTAATACTTGTATAAATACATTATAACCTCAATGATATAAATCTGGCTGAATTGGAATATTTCACTCAGCTGAAAATATATCAAATAAGGCTGTTTGATGATGATTAACTATGTTTAATCAATATCATATGGGTTTGTCTGAAAATAGCTATCCCCCAAATTCGACGGTTGATGGTTAATCACCATGTTCCTTCCTTGGAACGGCCATTATACGAGTTATTCTCATCGTCCCTCTGGTAAACTGTCCCACAACTATTGAAAACCCACGCGTTTTTATAAGTAAACCATCTGTAAATGGACCATTTTCCATAGCTATGTTAGTTTACTGGAGGGTAGCTATTTGTGGTTCAATGGGGGGAGCCTCTATTTATCCAAAAACGCTCTTGAATCTATAGGTTTTGATCCCAAGAATGGCAGTTCTTGAATCAACTGGCATGAGAAGAACAAGGAAAAACATGTGGGGATTCTACCCGGTACATAAATATCGGATATTACCAATGGGATCCCATGGGATTGTTTAATTGAAACATGCACCAGAAGATTCCACAAAACATGGAGGTTTCGCCCCAAAATCATCAGGAAGATTTGCAATACACCATGGTTTACCAGAGGGTATTAAGCAAGACCTTTCATGTGATTGCATACGATTCTTTGACAAACCGTAAATCATACTGAGTGTACATTGACGTTTAGAAATAACAGCCCCTTATTTGGGACCATACCATTTGGATGTTTAATGTTGGGGTGATGGGAGTAGTACAGTATATTGCCCTTCACAACATTACCGGACAGTACATACCCTGTATACCCTTAGTAGAGTCCATGATGGTCAACACCCAAAAGTCACAGAATGGTCAAGTTCTGTGGGGATGTGTTCACCATCATGTTTGCTTTGATTTGATGAAGTCAAACCTACTCCATGATGGGGAATGCTTTTAGCCACTTAAATATCCAGGGGTACTAAGACGCGGTGTGTGTGTGTATATACATATATAGATATAATAACCAATTTATATCAACTTACTGACTATTTAAGCTTATTTAAACAGTTGGGCAATTATAATATGTCACGAATCTGAAATAAGTAATGTTGGAATAATTTCCACTTACAAGTCCCATTTTTTTAAGGCTTCGGCCGCAGGTCGTTCCAAAAATTACCAGCTGAACCATGGATTCAAAATTTCATCAGGATCCTCCCAATCAAAGGATTATTTGGAACCTAATGATTGGATTATCCGATTATCCACATGATTTGGAACCGAATTACATGAATTCCCCTCCCAAACAGATGGCAAAATTCCATGGATTGATTTCTTTTGGACCAAAAAAAACGTTTTCCCATGGATTTTCTGACCCAGATCGTCCGATCGTCCCATTGGAAGGGACATCCCATTGGTAACCATCCAGCTCGTAAGGAAAGCATCTATAAATGGAACTTGGAGATAGCTAAACTATCTATATCTCCAAAAACATGAAAAGGGATTAAACTATTTCCAATCCATCTGACCCATCCAGTCTTCCTGGAAGGAACTTGTACAAGAACGTCATCTCATTGGTTACGTTGTTTACAGTGGCGGCCATGTGAAAAGGTGCCACCTGCGCGCCGGTGTCATGCCCGATGTTGGTTGATATTCCCATGAAAATCCAAGATATCATGAATATATCCAATATATCATGATATATATATATGTTTTAATATATATATACACACACATAAATCGCCATAAATCCAATAGGAAACCGAGATATAAGCTTAGCTATCGAATGCTATCGAAAGAATTGGAGCACCACCTTGAGCAATATACAAGGCCAGACCAGATCACTCTCAGATCCTCGTTAGATGCCATGACCATGGCTGTATGGCTGAGGTTTCCCGGGTTTCCCATCTCGGACATGTCGG